GATTGGAGACATAACAAACGGCTTTATAGACGTGTTATGAATAGCTAAAATTACAGGTTTAAACGTCAAAATGGCAGAGTTGGTGCGCTTTTAAATTTGAAATTTTGAACTTCAAAAACATGGCAAGAACTTTCTTTACAAAACAAAAAAAACAAGTACTTACTTTACAAGCGTAAAATGGCAAAAACTTTCTTTACGAAACAAAAATTGACAAAAATGTTACCTAAAAACTAAAAGTAATTGTCTAAATGAAAAAATTGTAATCTTGCCAAAAAGAGCCGTGACAACAACTAACCCCTAATGCCAATTTTGTTCGAATGCCTATTTTTGTTTTTATGACTAATTTTCGTCCATTTCCCAATCTACATTTTTATAAAACAAACGCCCACGTTCTTGAAGGCAATTATTTACATTTACTATATAAATAAATATAATACATGTAAACATAACAGCATAAGGTCAATACAAGGAAAACGTCATGCTACCCTATCCTATTTCGCGGTATAGTAGCCTCACCACTTCAAAATTTAAAACACGCCTGATCAAAAACGACAAAGCATTCCAAACTTAAATAAGTTTCAGCCACACAAAAGTAAGATTACTAATTCGTTTATTAACTTTTGCAAAAATCAGATATTTCAAAAACAAAAGCTGGCTTTTTGATTTTATAATAAGATAGGTTGCGTTTTGATTGGGTTTCCCAATAAAGCAAGAGAAAAGAGAGCAATAGAGAATATCGAGTACCTTCCTAACTGTGTAAGACAAAAATACGCCGTCTTATCAAAAAACAACCAGTCTTAACTTTCTATACCTTAATCCGTATCCAATCCTTATCTTAGCTTTTTGCTAGCCACTTTTTTTCACTCTTGTTTAGCCAAGACTTACAAAAATACCTTCATAAGCCAAAGGATGATAGAATTTACTGCCATACCCAAATTAAATTCTTCCTCAATAAAGTATATCTCAAAACTTGAAAGCTCAAAGTCGTTTCTTTGTCCATACTAACATGCTATAGATTAAAGACGTCATATCACACTAGAATGTCACTGAGATTAGCGCTATGCCGCTTCGAAAATAGTTGAAAAATTGGAATGCCGGAATTCGCTTGTTTCCGAGTAAAAAAACTATTCGAATACCAATTATTTATTGGGGTGTGGACAGAGTGTTTACAACTAGATGTTACTATGTTATCGTATAGGCGTAGGGTAGAAAGGTAAAGTAGAATAGAGTAGGGTAGTAAAGTTCACAGAGGGGACCACGCTAATTATTTTAATATTTTCGCAATTTCAGAATTAAAAAAATACTTGACGTAATATTACATCAAAATGGAGCTACTATTAACCTTCATAGTCGTTAAAATACACGAGACAGTAAATGTAAACAGAAAACATATAACAAACCCTAAGGGAGATAAAAACAGATTAAGTCAGCTCACGAAACGCCTATAAGAATGCTAGGTGAAGTTATTTTTTATGTTGAAATAGAATAAAGCGCTTACATTGATAGAGTTATAACACGCTACTTTGGAGCCACTAGGTTTTTATGACTAGACATAGCATTAGCCCTACTTTAGCTTTTATGTTAGTCTTAGCCTTAAGGTATGAGCATGAGCACATCCATGAGCACGTGCAGAAAAATGAGCCTTGATCTTAACCTTATCCTAATCTATAGTATTAGCCTTAGCTTAAGATTCAGCTATCGCCTCGGCTTTAGCCTGAACCTTAGTTTTAGGCTTAGCCATAGCTTTAATTTTAGTTTTAGCCCTAGTCCCAACTTAAGCATTGGAGAAAATAATAAGAACGTATTATGTAGCCGCAGTATTTCTAATGTAAAGGTGAAGCAAGAAAACAGAAAAAACCAAGGTTGGGCTGTTACGTTGTTTGTCAATAAATAATAACAAAGACAAAGAACTAATATTGAATACAAAAATGTATTAAAAAAAGTTAATTAGCGACTATCATATTAAAAATTTTCATAACACAATCCTAATGTAATTTTGTTGTGTTTACTATTACTATAACAAAAAAAAACAAAATGAGCCCGATCAAAAATGATCAAACATTCCCAATTTAAAACAGCCACACAAAAAGTAAGGTAGATAAACACTAACCTTTTTGGAAGTTAGATAACAAGTCGTTTGGTTTTATAAAAAGTGTATTTGTTTTTCAACTGGGTTTCGCAAAAGGCGAGAGAAAAGAGAGAGGTCAGAGAAATAAAGGGTCATCGCGACATAACATTTATAATTAGCATTAAAGTGAAGGACAAGACTGGAATAAGGCCAACGTAAGAATAAAGTAGGAATAGTAGGATAAGGCCAGTTTAGAGCTAGCATAAGGTCCGAGCCTAAGGACCGAATATATAATATGGGTAAGACAATGCTTCAGACAAAGCTTGAGTAAGGCTTGAATAAATTTATGCCAAAGTTAGAGTAGGGCTAGAGTAAGGTTAGAAAAAAACTAAAGTAAGGCTAGAGAAAACATGAGTTAGACTACTTATGGCTTGGGTAAAATAGGGTTGAAACAAGGCAAAAAAAATTAAGTTGGCTGAGATAAAGCTAAATCTATGGCTGGGTCAAGGTAAAGCTCAATTGGCACAGCCTATAGCTATCAACTCTATTTTTGAATTACTGTAGCTTTTTATGGATGTTAATCCTAAGTGTGTATAGCTGAGTCATGTCTCACTTTTTAAACATGAGTTTGACTTTAAATATTTTTTTCGAAATTAAAAGTTAATTTATGCAAATCTTAAAAATAAACTTATATATAACCAAAAAACTAAAAAAGTAAGTCATACGTTTTTTATAAGCATTTCATTATAGTACATTCCTTAAATTGTAAGTTATTATATAAAGAATCAAATGAACTTATTTTACCTAGTTATATTTATTCTAATAAACTGTGTAATATTGACTAAAAGTGATCTTATTGTAAGTTTTATAATCTTATGTTTCAAATTTTTTATTTAAGACAAAAAGTTAACAACAAGCGTATTTTACAAAAAAAAATTCAGAACTACGTCAAAGATGCAGTAAACGACATAACCAACACAGAATCTTGTGGAATTTGCCCAAAGGTTGTTGGTGTAGCCTTATGGATTGTTGGGTCTTCTGGACTGTTATCTACAGTAATATTTATGTCACTGACAATTTAAATTTCAAAAATTTTGAAACAATTTAGTTGCGCTGTGTTTTACAAAATTTTCAAGAACATAAAATAAATTTTAACTAAAAATTTATAATGTTCTATATTACAGTGTAACTCCTGTATAACAAACATCAATATGACAAACCAATTGTATTTTTGTACCAAATTAAAGTTCCAATCTTTCAATATTTTTATGCCAATTTAATTTTTAGGCCCTAAACGTAGTATGCAGTGGAATAGGTATTGGACCTTTGTGTGACCTAGGTTTAAGCAGCTTAGCCTTGGTCACAAAAGCAGCACCAGCAACTGCAATATGTTCAACACTAGGCTTTGAGCAATGCCACAATGTTCGAAAACGAAATGTTGATATGGTACAATTCTTTCTTAATGTATTTTAAAGTTTTTAAACTTTAATTTTACTGTAAGCAACAAAACTATTAAATTATTGAAGTCATCACTAAATGAATGAACAAAAATTTCAGGAATCAACAGTTTTACCACTGTCAACAAAAGAAGTTTTAAAAAACTATGAGAATTCAATTAATGAAATTTTAAACTTTTATATGCCGATAGTCAAAAATCAATGGAATAATCTACCAGAAGGTGTCAAAGACAATTTGATCACAATGTCTCAACAATTCAAAGACAACGTAGCAAAAATACCTCCTAAAGAAAGTGTTTTACAGCTTATGAACATAACCAAAGTTTATGCAAATAATATATATGGAAGCTATATCTAATGCTCAGTAATAAAGTTAATTATGACTTTTATTGTGAAAGTAAAAAATACTTTTAACTAGGTCTACACAAACAGGCATAGTCCTACGCCTTAAAAATTTGCTCAGACTTATCCTAGTAAAACTAAAATTTATTTTTAGTACCAAAGAACTAATGTCTTTTATGAGCTTGACCACAAAGACCAAGCATCCAAAATTTTTGTAAATTTTCACCATACAAACGTAAGGAGAATCAAATATTAACCTTTTTAGAAGTTAGATACTCCGACCAACAATAGCGAACCGCTTGATTTAATAAAACGTGTACTTGCTTTTTGACTGGGTTACGCAAAAGAGCGAAAAAAAGCAGAGCTTAGAGAAATAGATAACGTACAATTCATATCCAATATAAAAGTCTAAGAAGAACAATGTATAGTAAAAGGTAGAGTAAAGATATATATATATATATATAGTAATTCACATTTTTACGATTTTTTCAAAATTTTTAATTTTTTTTTTATTTTGCAAAATGTTGTTTTAACAAGTTCAAACTCAAACCTGTTCAAAAACCACTTAATGTTTTCTTTGTTTTGAATAGGATGCTAAATATCTTTGTATTTTTGTGCAAACCAGCTTGACATAACAATTAGTCTGTTTGTTTGACAAATCTTTTGTCTCAAAACCAACAAAAAATCCACAAAAGAAATCCGTCGCTCAGTTCAGAGTAAAAGTAAGTTCAATCTTGGTTTATTTTTGATTTGTATAAATATGTTAGGCTAGTTTTTAGTTTTATAGTATAAAACATTTTTAAATTTAAAAATACATGGTTTTTAGATTTAACTTCCAAAATTAATTTTTTTACAAAATTTCAAAGTTATTAAACAATTTTAAATTGAAAGATAACAGCTTTTACTTAAAAAATAATTTTTTTAATATATTTTGAACTAGATCTTATATAAAGTGACATGTAAAACTTGTACGACGAAACGTATTTGAACAACCGCGACTAGCAAAAAGTCATCTTTTTAACACTAAAAGAGCATTTTTATTAAAATCTTAGCAACTACAAACTAAGAAATAATTCGAAAAAATAGTTGGCTTTGACAATTAGTTTTTTTTTCAGTTTGAAATTTGGCTAATTATGGCGGCCGGATGGAGAAAGTTCACCGGCCAGTCTCCGTATCCATCTGTGGCGGCTAATAAAACCGAAAGTGCCTTTGCCTACGGCGTCAAACAGGACCGACAGTACCGGCTGGACTGGGTAATGAGAGAAAAATTAGGAATGACAAAGCAAATTAATAAAAAAATATAAAATTTTTAAAATACGACAGCATTTCCTTAGCCTTGTAAACAATTTCTTGCCATTTTATGTTTTGTAAAGAAAGTTCTTGCCATTTTATGTTTTGTAAAGAAAGTTCTTGCCATTATATGTTTAGTAAAGAAAGTTCTTGCCATTTGTTGTTTTGTAAAGAAAGTTCTTGCCATTTTATGTTTTGTAAAGAAAGTTCTTGCCATTTTCTGTTTGGTAAAGAAAGTTTTTGCCATTTCTTGATTCGAAAAAACAGTTCTTGCTATTTCTTAAATTGTAAAGAAAGTTTTTGCCATTTTTCATGCAAAAAAGTTCATTTTATGTCCTTCGCAGCCTGCGGGTGACAAGTTATACGATAAACTATAATTTGTGGTCGGTAAAAAAAAGCTTTTACAATTTTTTCGTTTCGTAAAGAAAGTTCTTGCCATTTTTTGTCATCACCAAGTTTGACGTCTCTTTCCTAGTTCACCCTACCCTACTTTAGTCTGCCCTACCCGTTTTTATATCAAACCTCCATTACTTATCACTTCTCCCTCTTACCTACCACCTCCCCATATCCTCACCCTCTCACCGATATTTTCAAACAAAACCCCACGCCAAAAGGCTAAAACATTGAAATTGAGCACGAATTTCGTAGGCAATTTGGAAAAACAGTTTCAGGAAAAAACAAAAATTGTCAAAGTTGGTTAAGTAGGGCCAGTTAACGGGGGAGCACTCGAAAAGACCACCGCCATTATTATCCATGGCTTCGTTCCTCTTTTGTTGTTGCTGCAAACATTAATTATTTATTGTAATTTTCGTTTTTTCTCCAGATAAACGTTTCTCAACCGGTTTCTAAGCGAGTTCGGCCGAAGAGGAGGATTCTGGGTCCTAATTTATTAAATGGCAATCTGGGGCGAATACTTTTAAAATTTTTAATTTGAAAAAGTTTCAGATCCAAGGCAGAGACGCTGAAAGTGAAGCCAAACTTCTAAAATTCATTGCTGATGAATTGGGAATGGATGCTCCACCAGTGGCCAGAGTCGGACGATGGCTGAAGGACGGAGTAGTGCTTTGCAAGTAAGTGTAAAATACCCTACCCTACCCTACCTTACCCTACCCTACCCTACCTTACCCTACCCTACCCTACCCTACCCTACCCTACCCTACCCTACCCTACCCTACCCTACCCTACCCTACCCTACCCTACCCTACCCTACCCTACCCTACCCTACCCTACCCTACCCTACCCTACCCTACCCTACCCTACCCTACCCTACCCTACCCTACCCTACCTACCCTACCTACCCTACTTACCCTACCCTACCCTACTCTACCCTGTCTTATCCTTCTTTGCTTTATCTTACTGTAACCTACTCTAGCCTATCCACTGCGCTATGTTAATATCCTAACTTACCCTTCCTTAATCTATATTTACTTACCGTACTCTATCTTATGTTAGTTTAGCCTATCCTTCTTTATTTTACCCTGCCCTACTTTAATTCGCCCTGCCGTTCCCTATTTTAGTCTATCATACTTTTTAATATCAATAACATAAAAACCATTAGTATTACTGTAACAATATGTTCCAAAACCTTTATTATTCCAGAATGCTTGAGAAGATGGCTCCCGGCTGTCTGTCTAGGCCATTAAATACGAAACGATCCGAGTTCGCGGCGATCGAAAATATTCGAAATTTCCTCGAAAGTGCAGTACGTTTGGGCTTCGAGGAGGGCCACATGTTCGAAGTCAGCGATCTGGTTGATCAGAAAAACATTGGCAAAGTGTTGGGGGTGCTGCAAATGTTGGCCGAAGAGATTCAAACACGGGTCACGGTTCGGATTTACTATTGATTTTGCGGTTGTATTTAAACAATGTAATAAATTTTATTATTAATAAAGTTTATTAGTTTCAAAAATGTTATTACCAGGGCAGGGCAATTATGATTCGTATAAAATAAAGTTAAGCGGGGGCTGATTATGAGGTAGGGAAAGGGGTAGGAGCATAGAGAAGAGAAGGAACGAAAAGAAAGAGGAGAGGTATGGCTGAACTTACACGATACAAGAACTTGTTGAAAGGGAAGGGGAGATGTAATACAATTTTTTTGTTAATAGAATAAGAGTAGGGTAATTTTTAAATTTTTTATTTTTTTAAATTTTTTTTATTTTTTGAAAAACGGAAAAAAACCAATTTTTTTGCCATTTTATATGTGACAACAATAAAAAAAGCTATTTGCTGAAAAATTTTTTAAAGTTATGGTAAAATACGCTCCATCTCACTTTCTTTTGATATTTTTTACCTCCCTACCACACCAATTCGCTCTCTTTTCTCTCACGCAAGGGTCAAACCCAATCGAAAGACAAGTGAGAAGAGAAAGGAAGAGCGGAAAAGAGAAATGGGAGGTATCTCTGGGGTCCATGCATCCTCAAACGGATAAATCTTTCGCCTTTTACTAAAGATTTCCGTGCATGGGCTCGCTTATGAGTTCTATCAATTTTTGGGAGTCCAGTCGATAGGCCGGACTGATAATTTGTTTTTTATTGGTTTAGTTGGTTATTTATGGTTGCTTTGAAAAAAGAGGGCGATTTTTGATTTTTTTAGTTTATTTTTGGTTTTAAAACAAAAATGTATTATTTTTTGTTACCGTGCTATATAGCACGTGATATTATTTTACTTACTTTATATATAAAATAAAAATTTTGTCGTTTATATCATTAACTTTTTATAAAAAACACTTTTCTAACTTGTACCTTGTACTAAAAAACCTATAATCAAGTAAAACAGGGCGGGGAAGGATAGGGTTACGGTCAGGTAGAGGCACGATAGGACATAGTAAAAGCATACAGTTGTCGCTAAAGCTATAGTACTACGACAAGGGCTAGAGCTAGAGCTAGGGTTAGAGCTAGGGCCAGGGCTAATACAAGGAGACGCTCTGAAGCTCAGGGTAGATTTAAACTTTAAGTTTTTGATGACTAATCTTATATTTCCAAAAGGTTTGCAAATATTTTTCAATTCGATAAACATGTTCAACACTCGTTCTAAATGCCAAACAAGAAAAAACTTTTACAACCTTCGTATAAATCTCGACTGTTTTTTAATTTCACGCTTTGAGTGTTTTTGGCACTTTCCGCGTTTCACTCGTTTATGTATCTAAAGTAAAGCAAAGTCGAGGAGAACGGCTGAATAATCCGCTGGTTGGACTAATTTTGTGGCTGTAAAAAATAATTATGGCTAGCTAGGCTGGATTTGGGCTTAAAATGAAAGTTTTGGTTTTTAAAAAGTAAGTAAAAAATTGGAGTAGGAGTAGGGGGCGAGAGGGGAGTTTTTATTTTTAAATATATTTATATCAGAAAAATATTAAATTATGTAATTGGCAGCTGGCAAGTAACAAGTTGTACGATAAATAGAATCTTTTGGTTTGTAAAGAAAGTTCTTGCGATTTTTTGTTATGAAAGAAATTTCTTGTTATTTTTTGTTATGTAAGGAAAGTTCTTGTCATTTTTAAATTTGTAAAGAGAGTTGTTGCCAGTTTTTGTTTTGTAAAGAAAGTTCTTGCCATTTTTTGTTATGTAAAGAGAGTTGTTGCTAGTTTTTGTTTTGTAAAGAAAGTTCTTGCCATTTTTTGTTATGTAAAGAAAGTTTTTGCCATTTTTTATCAAAACAAACCATTTTATGGTCTTGCAAACTGCGGGTGACAAGTTATACGATAAAAAGCGTTAATCTTTATGTAAACAAATTTCTTGCCATTTTATGTTTTGTAAAGAAAGTTTTTTGCTGTTTTTAATGCAAAAGCCTTGTTGTAAGCTTTGTAGCTAGCGGGTGACGAGTTATACGTTGAAAAGTGTTTTTTCTTGTAAAACTGTAGCTGCTAGCTTAATTTAATTTTAGTTATGTTCTAGCTCTCAGGTTGTTAAAATTATTCTGAACCTTGTCTTAAAGCAATTTTTTGGGGTATGAGGGCACATAACTATTTGAACATCTTAATATTATATGTATTTAAAAATATAAAAATAACCTAACCAATATGTCATGTTGACCTTTTTTTAATTTTCAAAATGAAACCTGTACTTTTGTGGCGGCGAATTTCCCAGGACACCCTGTATCATGACGTACTGTAAACCAAACAAACAGCTAATTAGGCATTTCGTACGAATTAATTCCGTATTTTTGTTGTTGTGGTGTGCCATCCAAGAACAAGTAATGTCAATGAGTTATAATTACCATGCCGTGAGGTATATACAGGTCGGTTGAGTGGTATGTACAGGTTGGTTGTGTAGTATGTAGAGGTTGGTTTAGTGGTATGTACAGGGGGATTGTGTAGTATTTATAGTTTGGTGGAGTGGGATGTACAGGGTTATTGTGAGGTATGTAGAGGTTGGTTCAGTCATATGTAGAGGTTGATCGTGTATAACACCTTTTTCGACCGAAATTTTTTGTTTTTTGGTCGAAAATTTTGAAAACACAGGTATAGACCGGTCTCTGCGAAATTTTATAGTTTTGAGCACGATATGCATTTAAGACTATAGTTACAATGTAAAACTTAAATAAATGTAAAAATATCGGGTAACGCTGGGGTAAGACAAGTCTGAACTCTAGAGACTAGAGTAAAGCTAGAGTAACAGTAGATATCGGGCTAGGACCAGGTTTGGACGCAGGGCAGGACATTTCAACAGGGCATTTTTTTGAATTTCGTTTTTTCGCCAAACTCATATTTTGAAAACTAAATAGTTATTAAGAAAATAATAACGTGTAATGGATTAACAGTGTTTAAAACCCTTTTCTAGAAATATTTGTGATTTTAAGCTTAGCCAAAAAAAATTTTAAAAAAACGCGTCAAAAAACAATTCAAAAATGCCCTGTTACCGGGCCCATGCCCTGTCCTGCATCCAACCCTGGCTAGGACTAAGGCAAGGCCTAGGAGTAGAAGTAAACTTCTTAATGTTTTACTGTAACTAAAACCAAATGGACAGTTATTAGTTTTGAGACAGGTATTCTTGGCAATGTCCTGGGTTTTAGCTCTAGGTAGGCTGGTAAAGGGAAAGACCAAATTTCTCTGCTTGGCTAACGAGCCGGGGCTTGTTTTGGGCCTTGGCTTTTGGGCCCACATGTCCCAACGTGGTAAATTTGTTTTGGTTTGGTCCGGGACTGAGTCTGTCCTAATAGGCCCTCTTTTAGGTCCACCATCAGTCTAAGTCAGGACTGACGGGTGACTTCGGGCTAGGGGCAGAGGTTGCAAGCATTGGTACAGGTACCACAGTGGCTATCGAAAAAAAAATTTTTTTTTAATTTTAACGAAGGGGGTCCTAGTCTTAGCTCTTGCACTAATATTAGTCCTCATTTCTCTATATTTAAGATTACTCTAGCCTTACTCTAGTCTTATCTTACCTTAGTGTTACGCTATCTTTACCTTATCAATTCTCTAGTTCTATTCCAACCGTCTTTTAGCCTAACTCTAACCTAATTTTAAAAACCATTTGAATTTAACCTAAATGATCAAAACTTTTCTTCCTCATTTTACCACGCCTTTGTCTGACACGAACTTAGTTGTCTGGCAATTCTTTTCCGACCGTCTCAAGCCATTTTTGATGATTTAAAAGTGAAAAACAAAAAATTAATGGGCCCTAGATGAAGGCAATCTGTCCAAAATAAATTTTTATTTTAGTGCCTTCGGCTAGGTGGGAGGCTTGTTAGGCTATTTTATGATGTGTTACATACAGTTTTTTTACTTTTATACTTTTCAATTATGAAATGGCATTTTTGAGGTTTTGTTCTTTTAATACAGTAAGCTTTACTAACTGGTTATTACATTACGGCGTGGTAGGGGCAAGAAAAGCTAGGGTAAGTAAAAAGTAGGGGAAGAAATGAAGTGAAAATAAGGGTAAGATAGAATATGAACAAAAAAGAGTTAGGATATGGCAGGGCTTGGGTATACATTCGGTAGGACAACTGTACCGCTATATAGAGTTTTGGTAGAGCTGGGTATGGCCACGATAGAACAAGACTAGAGTAGTGCTTGGGTTGGACTAGTGTATGCTATGGTAGGATTACAGTGTGGCAAAAACAAAAGATTACGGTATAGCTTGGTATGAGTAGTGTAAGACAAGGCTAGAGTAAAAATAGGTTAGGGCTAGGGCTCTGGGCTAGGGCTCTGGGCTAGGGCTCTGGGCTAGGGCTCTGGGCTGGGGCTCTGGGCTAGGGCTCTGGGCTAGGGCTCTGGGCTAGGGCTCTGGGCTGGGGCTCTGGGCTAAAGCGTTTATTTAAAATTAAGAAGTATGTGTTAAAGTTTCATTTTTACTTAAAATTAACCCCGATGTTACACTACTTTTTCATTTATCACGCTGAAAGTTCTCATTTACGAATTCTTTTATTTAAAAAACTTTTTTAACTCTGAATATTAAAGTTGGAAGCCATTTAAATGATTAATTAGACTTTTTTTCTTTTCCATATTTGAATATTTGATATCTTCGTTTTGGACTTTTTAGTCTTCGAATGTATTGTAAAGCTCCTTCACTTGAAGTATATTTCTTAAATTTTAAATGAACGCTTTGACAAAATAAACAAAAATTTTAATTTTAAAATAAATGTTACCTAAACACCTTATTATAATCTTTAAAGGACTTTACTTGATCAATTTTAAAAGCCCTTTGGAACAGCGATCTCGTGGTGTAGTGGTTATCACATCTGTCTAACACACAGAAGGCCGGCGGTTCGAGCCCGCCCGAGATCAATAGTTTTTTTGGGCGTTCAAAACAGTTTTTAATGGTTCGAAATTTAAAAATAAAGTGTTTTAGGTAGTGATAAATGTTTTTTACATTATTATTTTATTCTAAAATGTCATAAGTTTTAAAACTTG